CACCTTCTGGAGCCCTCCACCACCCCCCACAGTGGTCAGGATTTAATCGTTCCAGCCAGTCAGAACACAACCAAACTGGATGTCAGACGAGCATAAAAGTGGCAGCAGACGGTCATTGCAATGAAAACAATTATCTGCTTACGTAATTACTACAATAAATGAGGTTTCTGCTACTATTTAGGAGAGCATCATCCGATTCTCAACATCAGCCTCTTCTACAGGCGAACTAAGGCAACATGCCGCGCTAATAACTAGCTGACAGGCAGCAGTCTGCTGTGATCCTGGCAGTGAGGATTGAGTCACAGCTTTGATTACAGTTCAACTATAAGGAGGTCATTTGTGTTTGTCACAGTGATGACTGCTCCTCTCCAGTGGAGGGCTCTCTTCAGAAAAAATCTTCTCCCTGGCTTGCATTTGTGGCACGCTGATTCTTATGAATCCCCCTTTGTTCTTACGCTCACAAGAAACATGATGTAGAGAAACACTTTGTGTGTGTGAAGCCTCCGTCGCCCAACATGGACGCAGTGCTCCTCTGTTCCTTCCGCCCTTGCTGGCCGGGTGGCCCGGACAACAGCAGCGCTGAGATAAAGCAGGATTGTTTTGTTCCCATGATGTGATGGCCAACAAAACCCCTTGATGAAACGGGCTGCCACAATCACATTAGATAGAGATGATGTCACTCACCAGCGCTCAGCCCCGACTATTCCGGACGGCGACGGGGACCACGAGAGAGGGGTGATGAAGGTTGTGGGGGAGGTGGTCTTTGTTTCACGTTTCATCTGCACCAACCTCCCCCTTTCTCCCCCAGTGGGGAGCCGAGGCCTTTTATTTTATTTTTTTACACATAGGTGGCGGCCATCGGTATAGCTGCTTGAAGGAATACCCTCCGTGACCCGAGCCACAGCTCAAGGCTGCTTCTGTGAGCCGACCCCAGCCCTCCCCCATCATCGGAGGGAAGACAGGAGGCAGGGATGCGTCATCCTGCTTCAGTCACTGACCGTAAAAGCAGAGGGTGACAGGCACCGTAAAAAAAAAACCTTGACAGGCCTCGTTAACGAAATGACATTTCCTCCGTGATGCAACGGAGTCTAGACAGTCAGATAGAGATGTACCATCTGCTGAACAGGGCAGAAGAATGCTACTTGATGGGAAATTCCACCTTAAATAGATGAATACAGTAAAAAAAAAAGAGCCATTGGCAAAGTTAATTTTGTTTCTAAGCCATTTTGTTATTTTTGCACTTCTAATGTGTTGCCACTTCATACTTCTACATCCCGACATATACTACATTTATTTCACAGCTGTACTGTACTTATTAGTCACTTTACATACAAAATATAAAGATATATAGAACATTAACAGTGTTTAAAATGAGTTGCACTTCCACCAGCTACAACATTCAAATGCTTCTTATATATGAACGCATCAGTAATAATAAACACATATACCTTAACATACACTGTTACATTTGACATTTTGCATTATGAGTACTTTTCGTTTTGGTATAACACGTTATTTTTCTGATAATACTTTTTTTTTTAATTGTGCTATTACTACTTCACTTAGACCCTTAAACATTGAAAATGAACAATTAACAACCAATTCCTAATTTTAAGGAGATCACCTTTGTTACTGTGAAATTGCCTTATTCACAATTTCCTGACACTGACATTGATTACATTAGTCATAATTAGGGCTGGGTGTCATTAAAAAAGGTTAAAACTCTTCTGTCGGCACTGTTGCCGTTGTTTGCGCTGTTAGCTTCTAGCCGCCGGTTCAGACATCTCTAAGATTAGAGCCGGCTGTATGGGTTGTAGCTGCCACAGTAGCGGGCCAATCACGAACCAAATTAAATCGATGTAACGATTGCGGTGATTGGCTACGAGCAAAACCATACAAATAGTAATTTTTTTCGAGATCTGGCCACAAAAAGGATCAAATGCAGGTATCGTTAACCGGGAAAGTTTCAATACTACTAGCTACTTGGGTAGTTTCGGTCAATACCTTATTGAGACACAGCACTAGTGATAGTGTATGGTACCATTAGCTGTGTATTGCTGATTATGATGTAGTTATAAAGTGTCCATTGTGACAAAATAAAGCCGATATATTCATTATTGTTTGCCCCTTTAGATAAAATGATAAAAACAATGTTCATGTGAAAGGTTGTCAAAAGGAACAGGGATGGACAAAGGGAAAACGGCTTAGTTAAAACCTCAAATGGAGTCTCTCTCTCTCTCTCCGGCAAATTAAAGAGACAGTCATTGAAAGATGTTACATTCCACACTCCATCTCACACCTGAAACACGCAGCAGCTCATGCATTATTCATGCATGCAGTGAGTGAATGAAAAGAAATGCGGCTTTGAGCATCCAGGAGCCGTTTCCCTGCAGTCCCTTCTTTGAGTTAAGGAGGGAGAGGAAAAAAAAGATAAGAAAAAAAAAGCCCCAGATGCTCATTTCACATACGACGACAATCTGACGCCGACTTCTTTTTCAATGAGCGCAGCGACAAAGTCGTTTGACAGGCGTTACTTTATTAATGTGCGCCGGCCCCAGCGAGGAGCCACAACTCCACAGCACATGTGGGACATGCCCCAGTTTTCACGGCATACACATGTATGTATACGCCCATGCGAGTGTGTGCGAGTGCGGCGGTGTGACATCAATACGTCAGCGGGGCGCTTTCATCATGTGTTCAGTGGAGGAGCTCTGAGGGGGGATCGACAGTGTGAGAGCTGAGGTGAGCAAGAGCGAGGAGTGTTGCTAAACCTGACGAGCGCTGAGCCGGAGGTGGCGTTAATCTCGCCACGAAAACGCTGCCTCCTGCCGCCGACAACGGCAGCAGGAGGCAGCTGACAGGTGCTAATTGGTAATCACAACCTTATATGCTCAATAATGCACTTTCTCACACCTTTCACCGACTCTTTTTCCCCCCCCTGCGAACTGCGAGTCAAATTAAAACACTGTTTTACTGCCATCCTCTCTCATAGCAGACAAAAGGCAGAGACACCAAAAGACACCAAAAATAACTCAACAAAGAAGTTGGGAGGTAATAATAATACATCAAAAAATGAAGCCGATGGAGTTAAAGGTGCTTCATACGAAAGAACAGTTCTCAACATGGAGACGGCTGAAGCTAACAGTGCTAAAGTTCCAAACAACGGTAACAGTGCTGACAGAGCTGACAGTGTTAACCTGAGGGGGAACTGGATCTATACTTCAAATAGAAAATAGTTTCCTGCTATTTGAATGCTCTGAATGTTGAATTAAGCAACTTTAAGGCGAGACATTTGGATAATGGGGTCGTCCGGCAACCGCAAGGTCGGCGGTTCGATCCTCAGCTGCTATGAGTCCTGTTCCGAAGTGTCCCTGAGCAAGACACTAAACCCCTAACCGCTCCCTCAGCAGCCCACTGCTCCCAATATGCTAGGGATGTCTTAAATGCAGAGGTCAAATTTCATGTATATGTAAATGTATACTGACGACTATAATAAAGTTTAGTGTGTGGTACCAGTGGGAAATACACAGGCTTCAAAAAAAAAAAATGAATACGTCAATACTTAAAATTTTAGGATTTATTTATAGTCTCAAATGAATTCATGGTCAAATCTAAATGTTTCTAAATCAAAAGTAACCTTCTCAACCACTATTTGGTGTGTAGTGGACAAATGAAGCAAAAAATGCGTTTACCATGGCAAATTATTAGGTAAAAAAAGGGACACTATTAGGATGGCACTGTTTATACAACATAATAATATTCAACCCTTTCTCACTGCCAACCTATTAAATATTGACGCATGGTCAGTGCCCCTCGGCATCCGATACTGACGCACCGAGGCCGGGGTGAATGGTTGCGTCAAACAAACACAGGACTTTCACCTAGGAGACCAAGTCGAAAAAAAAACCCATTTCTCAGTATGGTTATGTCAATATGGTTATGTAACTTAATAAATTACCAACAGCCGGTTAAGTAAAAAACATATTTTAACTAAAATCTAAATATTTTCCTATGCCTAGCCAAGTCCTTTTGTTGCGTAATTAAACGTAAAAAAGTAAAAAATGTTTGAAGCATAGGGCTACTATATTGAATTAATGCATTAACTGTACCAACGTTAGCTGGAGCTTGCCAAAAAAAGTTAAGTGTGGGAATTTTGGTCAATCAGAAAGAGAAAAGGAGTGAAAACAGAGGTGTGTTGTGCTTGTGTCCTGTACTGTGTTCTTACAGCAAGGAAACAATCAAAACATGGCAACCCCCACCTATCACGACACAAAATTCAGTTTGACGCTATAATTGCTGTAATAACAGTCCCGATTAATAATGCTCACTATCAGTCATTTCTGTGACACTAGAGAGGATAACTATTCTCATCAGAGGCAACACAACTTGCTGTCAGTCAATTTGATTTCCCTGTGGGTTTAGCGCTTATGATGCAGGATGAAACCAAACCTGTCAAGTGAATGAGTTACCTGTCGGCCCATATGACCTCATGTCATCTTGGTTCTTTTGTAAAAAGCCAGGGTTGAATATGAATCGGACCAGAACTAAAAGGAGGCAATGTATTTGAAATTTTCCCTTGTTCTGGGCCCAATAGGTGTGAATGCACCCCAAGAGATTTGAAAGGTTTTTCCATCAATATAAATATGAAAAATACCAGTGGACAGGATTGCTGCAGCTGTGAGCTGTGGCTGAGTGCGTGTTGATTCATGTGGTTGGGCTTTATCAGACAGCTGTTAATGTTGCTCTGGACAAAAGTTAGCTGTTTTTTTGTTTAAGGTGGAGGGTGGATAGAGGGCCTTAGTCCAGTGGTCACACATCTCTGTGTGTGGCTATGGATGTCTGGGGGGGGGGGGGGGGGGGACGGAGAGCCTTGTTTAGTATTGCTTTTGTCCTGGTGTCAGTGGGGACTTTCAGGGTTGCATTGTGTCAAAGTCAATAGCACTTCCAAGCCCCTGCAAGAGAGAAACCTGTCAGAGGAACGACGCGTTTGATGGACGTACCTCTTCCGGAAGGCTAACGGCCAAGCCATTCTCCGCCTGGCCCACCAGCGCCTGGAGGAAGTACTCGCTACAGGCGGCCAGCACGGACCGGTGCCCGCGGAACTCCTTGCCCTCCACCAGGACAGTCACATCGCACAGGATATCCTGCTTCCGCTGGTCGTTGAGGCAGAGGAGGATATTGGTACAATGAACTGTCGACTCATACACATACATGGGGGCTTCAGGCTTCTCATCCACGGACATTCCGCTCACGCCCTGGAAATAGAAGCACAACAGAGGGGAGGGGGGGGTCAGTTTACAGCCGAGGCCAGCGAGCGCATACCGCAAGGGCTGACATCAGTCCCCGGCGGTCTGCTGCGAGTCAGCCTCATGATTCAAACACATGCAAGCCTGACTAACGGACGCTCTCTGCTTCTCACGCTCACCGCCTCTTTAACGTTTAAAAAAAAGCCGGCAAAAGCGATGTCGTGCGTGCCCCTGCTCAGTGTGGACCCGCGCAGGATGTCCATACACTAATCACTCTGACTTTGAGCGTAGTCCATACGTTTCCACTCACACGCTTCCCGTTGCACATTCAAATCGCATGCACAAAGAGGGTAATCACGTCGACGAATGAGATCACACTGAACACATGTTATTAAAAAAAAAAGCAATTACATTTAAAGGTAACGGAGTCCAGTTTAAAAGTAATGTCTCGCTGCTTTTGGCTCTAGAGATCCACATGTGTTTGTAATCTAAGGAGGACTCACTGTAAAGGTATGCTGAGCAGCTTGGATACACTCAGCAAGATAACATTAGCTGGAGAGGAATGGGAATAATAAGAACAGGGAGCAGCTTCATCACAGGATGAGAACCCCCATGACAGCGCAGAGGTTGTTTGGGAACAATTAAAGAAATACTGTATAATATGGGCACAAAAAGAGCCGTTTAACCAACGGCTTTTAATAACTTTATCATGTCAACCTGACAGTAAAAACTTAAACCAGCTATAAAATTAGAGGAATACTTAAACAATTTGGTATTTATATATATATATACTGATACACATATAGCCAAAATGTATTAATAAAACACACGGCCTGACCGACCCTCTCAGCCCACAACATGTGTGATTTTGCCTGAAACCTAGAAGTTACTAAAATAAAACACACAAGATTTCTGAGCATTTATTCCACATGGACCGCAGTTACCATATTGTACTATATTACCATATAAGGTTATTGTTAAATCTCATGTTTGATGCGTTTCAGAGCCGACGCACAGTCAGGAACACAGCCTCTGATTGGTCGACAGACTCAACCCCAAGGTATCAGAAATTGCCAGTGGACGGCTATCAGCAACAAAGTATCTGAGAGGGACATAATCGTAGCCCTATTGAAACGGCACAATGGTTAGCTTTTCACGTTGCATGCAGCGCCTCAGAGATATTAAGTATGTTGTATACCACATACTTTGACCCGAAAACCTACACTATAGTAGGCTAGGAGTTATATATTAGTGTAGTTGTATTGTAAATCAAGACGTGCAGCGGCAGTAAATAAATCAATGCGCTTATGATAAAACACAAACATTGTAAATTGGCACGGTACAATGAAGAATATTCGTAATATTCAGTTTTTTCCCCCATGATTTCAGATTACTTTACAAACATATTGATGCGCTTGTGAACAAAAACAATGGTGACATGTGAGGCAGACCGACGCAGCTGCTGTAGTCGGCGTAGCTCCACACTACGAAACGCCGTAAAAGCTCTGCTCTCCAGGAACACAGCAGCACGTTCCCCCCATACTGTCCACCCCGCTCGCCCTGTGATGACAGGCGCAGAGCTATCTTCCCTTCAGAGATCCCAATCAGAAACACACACACACACACACACACACACACAGACACATAACTTCATCCAAGGGGCCTTTACATGAGGGTGCTGCTCGGCACCAAGATGATGCTCTCTGCTACATGCGGGGCTTGTGGTCACAAGTTTGACATGAACTCTAACACTCTCACAACACCGCACAGACTGAAGCTGCTCACACTCAAGGACCATCAATGGCTCTTTTTTTTTGTTGCTAAAATGAATGCCTTGACACGGGGTGACTTTGTCTTTTTGTACTAGTTTCGTGCAGCGCTCCAAATTAGATTTCATCAGAAAATTATTTTTTATTTTTTTAGTTGATCTGCAAGCCTTCAGACAAATGTAGAAAATGTGAGTACACACAAAAAAATGTCCTCAATCATGGAATTGTTATAATCAAATTTCTCCTTGCTGTGATTTGAAGTGCTTGATGTTTTCATGTCGTATTACTTGCTGTATTTGATTGATAGCTTTTGGGTCATACGGGCTTCTTATGAATAGAAATGGAATCTTTGCTCACTTTGTGTTTTTTTAAGACTTTTTTTTTTTTAATAAATAAAGGGAAAATACACAAAATATATACTTTCCTTGGGTTGGCAATGACTAAATAACCAAGTCAAAGCTCTCACTGACTCACACTGTGATGTTTGAAAAATGCTGAGCAAGAGTTCCTGAAAAAGAGGAAGCACAGCTACATCCCTTCATAAGAAGACGCAAACATTCAACTGGTCAGCAGTGTCAGTTTTTCCTTCTAAAGGCAATTCATTCAGTGGAAAATACATATTTTTGGAAAAAAAGATTTCTGAGAGAAGATGACAGAAAGGTCTAAAATATGTGTTTGAAGGATATGTCAAAGATTGTCAAACTGATTCAGCAGCAGCTGTATTCACTTTTACAATCATATAGAAGCAAAAGCAGCATGTGTGTACATTCAGTATAGCGTAGCAAAGAAGTGCAAACGCTAGTTTATGATGCGCTAACGTACCCTGCTAATGTTAGCTCCACAGGTTGTTAATGTAGAAAATGTAACGTTTTACAAACGCATATCTCTTTCCAACCTCTCCGGGATAACGAGTACCACTATTACACAACATTTAAACCACGACTAGCCCTAAATCCACGGAACCAGCCTCAAAATGAAGGACACCTGAAACAATTTAATGAGAGTCTATGGTGCACAGCCGAGAAGTGGTAGAAGCATTCACTTGACAACTTTTTGACCAATATAATCGATTGTGAAAGGTTTACATGTGGAACCAACTGCAGTGGGAAGTGTTTAAGTTGATGACGTAACTTGTCACCTTTTAAAACTCTCAAATGTCACAACCATATATATATATACTGTATATATATATATATGTATAGGCCAGGCATTGCAGATGCAATATGCAAATGACTCAGGGACTGTGTGACCTATTTCTGACCTCAGGGTTTATGATGAAACTGATTTTGGGCGACAGTTGAGAGCATTTTTGAGAATGACAAGCATCTTTGGAAAGACAGCGGTGCTTGTCTAATCGGGTGCAAGAAGGGCTCATGTTTGATGTCTCATCAACATCGGAGAGCACCTTTCAATCATCTACTATCTGCTGTGCAGCCTACTAGAAATGACGTGTGACACAAGCAAATGCGTACTGAGCCTAGTCCACAAAGGGGGAAGTGAAAATCGTGGGCTGGCCTTTGTGAGGCTACACTGCACCACTGATTTCATCACAACCAGGCCATTTGTAGAATCAGATGTTTACCTGGGACAGGGTTGTAGCAATGATTTGACTGGAGCGGTCCACTGCTACGGCAGACTAAGTCTAGTGTAGGGGCTGTTGTGGAACAACTATGTCAGTCCAGACTTTCCCGTGGTTCTGGCTGGTCCAAACTGTTGTATACTTTGCTTATTTCCACCAAACATTTCTCCTTTGGCTTTCTATGATAATGACCCGTCTTCCAAGAATAATGTTTCCAGATGCGGTTGCGAGGATCGGAGAAATCCAAACATGCTATTTCTACCCTGGAATGCACATTGGCTTTGGACTCTTGGACTTTAGACGGGTTTGTTGCAGTGGGAGGAAAATGCAAGGATGACACAAACACAAGGCACACACATGCATACAGTGCAAGCATAGCCGTACACACACGCACTCATACAGACAGACACATACCCAGACAAACGCACCACAAAATAGCCGGTTGTGGCAGAATTCTGATTCGAAGTGCTGATGGCTGCAAAAGATTTATTTTTTCTGACTTCCTGGGACAGTTGTTGACGGCAGCTCTTTCTGCCACACTAATACCGCTGCCGCCAACCTCCTCGGCGAGTTGCTCGCATTCCTGTGCAGATCAAAAGCACAGCGTGGTGGTGATGAGGACGCTCCAGCAGCGGCCAGAGCCGACTTCAGGGTTTACTGCTGGCTGCTCCTGGATCACGCCTGCTGATCTGAGGGAGGCTGATGAAGACTAATGTGGCTAGAGACCCGTTAGCTCTACAGCAATTATGTTTGTGGAGGTATGGTGCACCGCGTGTGTGCAAATAGTCCCACACACTGTATATACTGTACCTCTGTGCATAAGAGGGAGCTGAAGGTAGCCTCCTGTACTTAACAATGCTTTCATTATGGCCTTGGTTACACTCGTCTGTTCAACGCGATTTGGACTGCCAGGTCTATACGCTCCAAGATCTGATCTTACTCACATTGGCATCCGATCAGCTGGAACAAATGCCGATGTAGCCTGGCTCGAGTTGAGTTCGGATCTCAGTGAGTTGTAGACAACATTTTGGGCACAATCAGGTGCAGTTTTGACATAGTCTTGCTGTTAAATGTGGCCCCCGTTTACCTCAATTTAAGGTAACTTCTGAAAAGAAAATATTTTCAGAATTTTAAAATATTGATACAGGCTTCCTGTCACATTATTTCATCTGCGAAACACAAACTGTGAGTCATGTTTAATCTGCAGATCACAGGTGTCGCTTAATATAACCATGGAAACACAGCTGAGATATGCATCAATACTTTAGAGGAGCTGAATTAAGACTACAATGGAAAACACATTTACACAGCCAATCGGTGAGCTGAATAAGACAACCAGCAGGATGCCTGAGTCAGCTTTGGTCTGACTGTCTCATCTCATGCGGTCTTAGTTTGGGGACTTAGAGTGGGAGGGGTGGGTGGTTATGTCTGACAGTGTGTCATGATGTGCTCTGTGATGTGTGTCCTCTCTCTCTCTGGGCCTCAGAAGAATACTTTGCAGGGTGTGAGGAAGGAAGAGGTCATGACGGAACGGAATATACAAAGGAGCGAGGGCGGACACTGACAAGACTTCGGGGGCTGAACTGAGCCCCTGACGGCAGAGTCATGATTGCTCCTATCATGAAGAAAAAGAAAAAGAAAAAACATTGTTTACCATTTAG